AACCGGCTGCTGTACACTCCGTTCTCAACTTCTGATCCATTTGCTCCCATTGGTCACACACAGAGAGCTCATCTTATAAGGTAAGATTACAAAACCATCTTTTAAGAGGATTTCAGTGAAAAATTCATAATTATATCTCATATAGTTCAAAAGTTATGGAAAAAAACGTATTTTACAGCAAAATGTAAACGGGCATTTAAAAATTACTACCGCCGGAACAGCACAACAGCGGTATATGCTGGGTATTTAAAATTCTGCGTCAACAGGTTAAGGTTTTCCAAACAAAATTAGTTTCTTTCCATGCATGCTACATATCCCAGTTATACCATCCTTAATTTATTTAGTAGATATTATACAAAATCTGAACCTCTGATTATGAAGTTTATGTATATTGTATGAAATGACATGTTCTACATCCTTTGGTTTAGTCCTAAGAAGGATCTGTGGAATGTAAATAAACTCTATTCTACTCTATGTAATTTTTTGCTCCCATTACTACTTGTCTCTTGGGTCCAGATATTATTCCCGTACATTTATAATGTGTGATCTTCCAGTAGGTATTAGTTATTTGTTGCGTTGTATGTATAAAGTTAATTCAGTAGTATAGTAAGTTATCTTTGGTGCTTCATGAAGTACCACACCATTCAGACATCTGAGGAAGTGGCACTAGAAGGAGGTGAGTGGTCAGCTTCATGCTCTGACCACTTTACCTTTGAGGAAAGAACCCTGATACCCATTGGATAGGAGGTTGGATGGGCCCCAGAACTGGTCTGGATGCTGTGGCAAAGAGAACAATCCTGCTCTTCTAGGAATTGAATCTCAGTCATCCAGCCCTGAGCCTAGTCACTAAGCTATCCCATTCCCCATACACTAATTCACTAATATAGTAACAATCTTTTTCAGTGAACTTGTATGAACTGAAAACTTACCATGAGGTTATAGATGAGATTTACTACAAAGTGACACACCTGGAACCATGGGAGAAAGGAAGTCGGAAGACTGCCGGACAAACAGGCATGTGCGGAGGTGTAAGTGTCCTTGTAAATTACATGTGGAGATACAACAGAAGCTTGTTGATTTGAGACTTGATAATGTGTAGAACCATATTTACTTGGTGTATGTTTCCAGCATGCTGATCAGGTATTTTTATGTTTTGCTCATATACTGTGCCCTGATGTAGGTTAAATCCGGAGGAATGAGGAAGGATTGTAATTGAAGGGCACATATAAACTTATGGTTTGTAATATTCAGGGGAAGATGTAAATATTTTATTTGTATTTTATATGCCCTGCAGACATAATGGCTTTTGTGTGTGTATTGGTATGTGCTTCAAGCCATTCTTACATTTTTGTTTCATAGGTCAGGGGTGTGGGTGCTGGAGGCATCGTTTCCACTGCCTTTTGCCTGCTGTATAAACTGTTTACCCTCAAGTTGACAAGAAAGCAGGTAAATGGGCTACTCACCCATCCAGATTCGCCTTATATTCGAGGTCTGGGTTTTATGTACATCAGGTAAGTTGCGGATGCAAGTCAGATCGGGCTCATGTTGATGAGGAAGTGAGGTGTCTAGTCTTCACTGTTCATGGATCATTTCAGACGTGGAACATATTTGGTTTACATGTGTTTGCTTTGCTTTTTTATACAGTCCAAAATATTTGTTAACAAACACAATGAACTAGAGAAATATGTCAACAGTACTTTTATCAGTTTTTATGTCAATAATTATTGATGTTGTGCATACTTATATTCAAAATACATTTTTGAGGCCTAGAGAATTATATTGCATTTGTGAAGGAGTAAAATGATTTTGTAATGTTCATGCACCTGATTCAGAGACAGGAAGTACAGATCTTGAGAACCAGAGTTCTTAGGTTCTTAAGGTAATAGTGGGATTATACCATCAAATAGGTTACTACTATCTAGTATTATTCATTCCCCTCACATTTTTCATAATTATCTTGCAATATATTATTTTATGCAGCATTATAAAATGACAATTCTAAAAGAAGTTCTGAACCTGAAATGAAACTCCTTTCTTGCAGTTGTTTGACTTTATTTGGTCTTGAGAAGTAGTATTCATGCATCCCTTGCATGCACAAGTCAAGCATTTGGTTTTTGCATGATAAGCTGTGTGTATAGAGCTATGTTTATTTTCTTCGTGTCAATTAAGTCTCCAAATTCTTAATATTTTGTGCAATTCTTACCAGGAAGTGTATGTTTTTGAGTGTGTGTGTGTTTGAAGTTTGCTTTAGCTTGTCCTAATATTGCATGTACACTCTGTGTTGTCAGGTACACTCAGCCTCCAGCAGATCTTTGGGACTGGTATGATGCTTACTTAGAAGACCCTGAGGTACGTAATGCAGCCTGCCCCATTTCCACACACTCCAACCTGATCTATTTCTTTCTTTTTTTTAATCTCGATGCCTGCTAGCATCACAGAAATTACTCTGAGATTGAGTTATGAATTGCTGTTGTTTAAGTAAAGATGTTATCTGACTTTCAAGTTTTTGGGCTATTTTAGGCTGGTTTTATTAGAACTCTATAACACAAAATAAGCAGGAAATTTTTAAAATTTAGTCTTTTTGTCATTTGTTAACATACATGAGTTACGTACAGTAGAAAATGAAACTCGAGACATTTGCCAGACCTGATTGTTATACACCTGATAGTATCTCTCTTTAGTTCAGTCAGTCCACTGAGAAGGAAAGAGTTAATTACTGAAAAGTTGTAGGCTCAATTCTTATTTAATATGTTAATTTAGAAGGAATAAATTAATCTCAAAATGTTTCTGTACTGTTCTACCTTTTGACTACAGTGAAAGTATCATTTATATTGTTCCATTTAGCATTTAAAATGTTCAAGGCTAAAAAAATTATTTTCAGTGTATTTAACATTTATATATACCCTTGAAATTTTCCTTCCAAGTCCATCCTAAACCTCTAACTTGAAGGCAAGGCTGAAAGAAACCTGGTAAGTAAAAGGAACTTTTTATTCTAATTAAAATTGATTTTCTGTAGTTTTGGGAGTTAATTCATTGAATTCAGCAGAACCATTGATTTGTTTCTTGCTTAGTTGAGTGAAAATCTACATGCATGTTTATCATGTTGCAGCTCGTGCTCCGCACCTCAATTCTGTAATTTGCAACATTATTCTTAAGTGTGGAGTTACATGATTTTTCAATAGACTTTTTTGTGAATTGAAGATGACTTTCTTCTGGGATATTGCATCATGTAGTCTAATAGAAATTGACGAACCAAAATGTCTTATCAATTTCTATGAAACTACATGGCACAACTTCCCAGAAGACAGTCATCATCATACTTGCTACAATGGGAACATAAAGTCTTATTTTTCAGTGACTTTTCCATTATGAAATTAGTTTTATTTGCTCTGCTTCACATTGTACAGTGTATTGCATAGTGCTGGCATTGTGTTGTTGCTACTCTGAAAACACCCTTTGTGGGCTAGCGGAAGGTGTCATTCATTAGTTTGAATTTTTCTTTTGTTCTTGGATATTATAATAAGAACCACATGTTGTTATGTAGATTAATTTTATCCCATGCATTTTGGGGGGAGGGTTGAGTCCATAAACCTCCTGTTTAAATTCAACTATGTTGCTCTTTGGAGCTTACATCTGATATTAACTGTAACAGTGCAACCCTGGAATAATGTAGCTTATTATGTTTGTGGATTTATGTTCTTAAGAAAAGAGTTATCCACTCATTTGTTCTCTTGTAGCATCTGTAATTGCAGAATTCAAATTGAAAACCATAGGTGTAAAATTTCAGTTATGGTCAGTCTCATTCTGCTACTGGAATCAGAAATTTCTGATTTAGTGTGCTCTGATTTTTTTGAAGAAGGAGGTCATGTTTCTGAATGATAAGTTCTGCTTTGTTTTGAAGATGGCTGTCCTCTGGGTTGTTGTGCTGTGTAGTCTGGAATAAATTTACTGATGTTTCACAGGTACAGAGGTACTTGATGCCTCCCTCTTCAGGGCAAATACTGAACAGATGAGACTACTTGAGACCTAGGACTAGACGGGTGAATAATACTAAAATTAATCATTAAAAAATGGGACAATTTATCTGGTGCAGAATAGGGACCAGTGATGGGATCTTGTGAATACAGCAATGAACCTTCAGGTTCTCAAGGACTTTTGAGGGAAGTAGTTTAAATTTTTCTTTTTGTCTGTTGATTGTTCTTGGAACCTGATGAGCTGTTTGTATGAAGTTAAAATGAATTTAAACAACTGTACTTTTCACCATTAAAATTTTAAGACAGTTTGCATCTTAAATAAGATTTTCATTATAATGTAGCTGTATTATTGATAGTACTTCTGTGTATTACCCACATTATTTCAGGCTTGTTCTGTGTCTCTGTTTAGTAATGTTTTATGTTGGAACTTTCGATATCCAGCACAAGTTGTGTTTTGATTGTGATTATGTTTAAACCACAAGGAAAGGATGGAGGTTTCAGGAACATTATCTTGATAAGGATGTTTCCCGAGTAGCTTTGCCAGATTTGTATGTTTGTGAATGTAATAGCCATTCCGTGTTCCAACAGGATCCAAGGCCTGCTACGTCCTAAGACTTGCGGAGTGCAACTTTTGTGCTTCGAAGCTTGTTTGACTGCAAGTACTAAGACGTATTTTGTTCTTGATGCATCTTTTAGAGTCTAAGTTTGGAGAAAACTTTGGTTTATTGGGCTCTTGTACATTTATGCCATGCAATAGAGAATTGAGTTTTGAGCATATATATAAATATTTATTTGTAGCAGAAAGAGCCTAGTAAACATAAGTGAAAGTGTTTCAAAGGAAATGTGTGTTCCAGACATACCCTTGTCCAGTGATTTCTTTCTTTATCATTGTACACCTTGGTCTTTGTCTGATGGCTTCCCCCTTGTATTTTCATTTCCCACAAAGATACATTTAAATTTTCTCCTATTTGCTTTGTCTATAAAGCAACAGTGATTGTATCTCATTGAATAGTGGCCTGTGGTTTATCTACTAATAGTGGGTTTGTTGTAGCAGATATTTTGTCCCATTAGGATGTGGTTATACATCTTTGTGCCAAAATTTGTTCGTTAACATAGGAATTAGCTTCAGTTTGAAAGAGAAATATATTAAACTGCATACAGTGAAGTAAGAATCTTTCAGAGTATTGTAGGTATCTAGTGACAAGCTTAGGCAATTTTGAATCTTTGGGTTCTGTTACTGGAGAGTATGTCTGTTTAGGTTATTTTTCAAAATAAAAATGGCTTCTTGTAATCAAATTGTTAAAAACAGAATTGCAAGAAGCCAAAGTGATTCATTAAATTATACCTTGGTGCACACATTATGTTTGTGCATGGGCCTACTAAATTCTCTAGAAAGGAATGTACCTTTTAATCAGCTGATACATTTAGAATTTGAAGACAGTGTGGTGTCTGCAATGGGATCAGTGAACATTGTTTTCATTGGCTCATGTGCAATGATTAGTTTTAGCATATTTGCTTGCTTATTCTGGTAACTGTCTATAAAGTTTTTTATTGTTTATCATAACACTTAATGTTAAGTGAACATACTAGTAATGTTTTGGATCAAGGGCTGAACTCCACTTTAGGCTTTGTTATAATTTATGTCTTTATTGTTACAGATTTTAATGCATATTAAATGTGTCTGATTAGTTGAGACATATTTCAAGTCAAAATTAAATTATTAATTGGGTAATATGATTTAATAAACCTAATATGGAATTCAGAAGTTAAGCTGTAATTGTTCCCAGTAAGCCCCTTATTTCATATCAGCTTCAGTGCATTAGCCTCTCATAATCCTCTTGTTACCATCCATTATATTCTTCTCTTTTCCTGCACAGAATGCTGTGATTTCATGTTATGCATCTATCTTCTTTTCCCATTTATAAATCATAATTCACTGTCCTTTGTATTTGGGAGACTTTGAAAATGTTTGAAATCAATTAGCTGAAAAGCATTATACCAATTTATATTAATCCTGATAAAAATTCTCCCAAAACTACACCTCAGCTGTCTAACAGATACTGATATCTGGCAGTGTGTATTGTCATATACAGATACATTTTGTGCTGTTTTAAAATAGGAATTAAATCTTGTGTATAGTTCAGATCTGTTTTGTAAAAATTAAGAGGATGCATAGTTGAGTGGGACTTTTGAAGCCAGATGAGTACTTAATTGTTGGTAGCTGGGGTTTTAGTTATTAGATTATTGTTCTAATGTACAGCAGTATTTGAAACAAATGACTCCTCCATAATGGCCATTATGTTCTGATTCATTTTCAACATAGAAAAATTGAAATTAATCTGTTTTGGCTTTATATTATGCAAGAACAAGCCTGACCATAAGAATTCAAACACAGACACACATGGAAATAAACTAATGAACACATATTGCATTTAAAGTTTTAAGTATTTGTTTTTAAGCACTTTCAGCATTGGTGTCTGCTTTTCAATCTCACTTTCTTTCTGCATGGATAACTTTCAAAATTAGAATTGGCCAATGAGCAAGGGTAGCTCAGTCAATACAATGACTGACTGCAGGCTGGGCACCAACATTTTAGTGAGATGTTTTCAAAAGCACCCAGCCAGTAAGCATTGATAGTTTTTTGGGCATTTAATGTCATGCTGTGCACTACATTTCAGTAGCTGGGTCTGCTTCTATCAGTAACAACTGTAATACACCATCATCAGTACCCTTTAGGATTTACCTAACCATACTAAGAAGTAGACTGATTATATTGACTGAAGGTAACAGTATGAACCTTGCAGCTGCAGTGAAGTATTCTTGGGAGATATCAGTCATCGATAATTGAGGGATAAACAGTTTAAAAAATTGTATCTTATTCCATACCAACATTGCTGATTGCCTGAGAATATTTCATTGCATTCACTCACTGTGAAAGCTTAAGTTCTACATAGGTTAAAGCTCTATAATACCATAGAGTTACATCCTTGATAAAATAAAAGGGAAAAGAATTTATTCTTACCAGTTTACTTGGTGAAGGGATTCCTCTAAGCTTTAGTTCATAAAGTAAACTATGAATGAATACATTTTTCTGTGTGTGTCTGAATAGCTACTTTAGAAGTTTTATCTTACATTATTTATGCTTCAAACTCATGGGACTCATAGCACACTGCTAAGTGCCCATTATTTATTATGGCCATTCTGATATATATACTGCTGTTCATTATTATCTGTATCCTTCATCTTATACTAGATACATTGTATTTTATGTATTTTATAGATGGTGATGTTTCATTTGTTTTATTGCAGGAAATGGATGTGAAGGCAGGAGGTGGTCAGGTGATGACAATCGGTGAAATGCTTCGTGCATTCCTCACTAAACTAGAATGGTTCTCCTCACTGTTTCCTCGGATACCTGTCCCAATCCAGCAGAAGCTTGAGAAGAAACTTAATGAGCGCTTCCCACCAGTGGTTGCTCCAGTACGCCAGCCAAAACCAGTTTTGCAGCAGCCACAACCAGTCAAGGAGGCCCGTCACATTCCAGATGAAGAAGTCTCATTTGGTGAGGCTGAACGTTTCTCACGTCTGCGGAGAGCTGATGGAGTTGGGGGCACAGCTGCAGCATTACCAGGCCGTGGTGCAGAGAGGGATCGTCGGCGAACTCCAGAGAGAGATCACAAGAGAGGACATAGTTCAGAAGTGTCACGTAGCCGTGGTTATAGCAGAGAGAAAAGAGGTTACAGTAAGGATAGGAGTCCAGCCCAGTACAAGAGCAATAGCCAGCGTAGGAGTCGAGACAGGAGTCCAGTTCGCTATAGAAATAGGAGCAGAGAAAGAAGCCCTGCACGCTTCAGGGGAAGTCCAGCACACAAAGACAGAAGTCCGCGTCATAGAGACAAAGAACACAGACAGAAGTCAAGGGATCACAAGGACAGGTAGGTAAAGTATCTGACATGTTAATAAGCTTATTTACTTCTGTACTATCCACCTATCTCCCCTTTCTCTGTATTAGTGTATACATTTTACCATTTTCATACTTATGACCTTGTAACACTTCAACTCAATTAACCTCTGCGCGCGGATGAACGTAAAAATTCGTGAGGCATAAATACCCCCTTGTGGATATCGGTGCAGTGTACGGGCGGCTGCAAGCTTAATTTTTGTAGCCCATAACTTTTTAACGAATAACGCCAGCGGAATGCGGTTTGCACTGCTTTGTTCTGAAAA